CTTTTTATTAAAACAAAATAAAACGAAAAAATACTAATTACCATTACATTAATTAAAAATTACTGCCTAATTATTATTATATTGAAAAAAATTAACCCCTTGTTTACTGATGATTGTAGATTATGACATATATCTATACCTGTTTAAGAACATGAAATAAGTAAAACATAGATTTCTGAAAACGATGCGATAAAACAATAACACTTATAAACAAAGTAAATGTATTTATGGTATAGTATTTTCACTAGTTCATACTTTTGTGAAAACAAAATGCGTGAAAAATATATTATTTCATGTATACTTTTCTTACATTTGTAAATAGACAATATCTATAGGTACTTTTGCATTCTATTGTTTAAATATTTAATACAGACAATCCGTTAATACTTTGTATAAATAAGAAACTTACAAAAAGAAAAAAAATTTATTTTAGAGAAACTATCAAAATCGATTGTGATTATAATTGATTATAATTTTGATCGTATTGTCTTTTCTACATCGAATTTTTTCAATTTAACAATCGTTTTAAATCGCCTTTGAAAATCAATAACAGATAAATAACGACATTAATTCCTTTTGAATGCAAGTAATATCATATAAAAATATATCCATTAAAATAACGTTTTATCTATGTAAATATAAAATAATATTGAAAGCATATCAACTTAATGCATACCTCAGAAAGATATATAAATTCAGAATTATGGTGGCTAATTTTATACATTAATAAATACAAAACTATATTCAGAATTTAGAATTTATTCATTATTCCACACATTACGCGAATTATATATAAAATGATTTCTCGTTTGTTATTTCATGTTTCATTTTTTCGCAAATAATTACGATATTGCGAACTGCACTTTTCTCTCATTAAATTTTCAATCATCAAGCAAATTATTTAAAAACACCACGGCACTCTGGTATAGAGAATTTTGCACATTTAGAACTGGCGCTGACTTTCGGTAGTTTGATTAGAATCATACGATCAACCCTCTAGTCAAAAGCATCGAGCAATGTTAGTGGGGGTAAGGGGGTTGAAGGAAAATTCGACGCTAGGGGTGGCGTACAAGTGCGGGCGCCATCTATTCGCTCAGTGTCTGACTATCCTTCGAAGACCTGTGTATTCGCGATCGTATTTCCAAATTATTGCGACATTTCGTGTGACAATTTAATTCAGTGTACCGTGTTATAAGAAAGTGACGAGTGTTCACTTTAGAACGGATACAACAAGGTAACCAGAAACGATAATAAAAATCTTCCATTTAAAAAGAGACTTTGTACGGGTAGCTGCCATCCTCGATGCCAGACACGCGTTAACATGTTGGATCGATTCCTCTTTCTCGAAAGTCGTGATACGATAGAAGACTCCAATAAAAGACCTCATTACGGTTTTTTAGCCTTTCACATTCGAAATCTGCGTTTCGTTACATGGTTTTTTTCATTCTTATTGAATTCCTTTACAAATGGATCGTTCTGTGTTCGAAGAAATTGAATCACCCTCGAAATCTCTGGATAGAAAGACGCCTACAGCCAAAGCCCTTCTTTTATGTTTTTTTTTTTTTTTACTAAAATTTAGTATCAACCGCGTAAAAATTTTCGTACAAATTTCGTCGATCCACGTTCGTTTCAAAGACAAGCCTAATTCGACTCGTGTTCTCGTTCTTTGAATATAAATGCAAATAAGATCATACGATCGATTCCTCTTTGCAACTTTTTAGTATATTTTAAGCAATAAACTCGATCTTAATGTTTCAGTTTACGGTTTAAATGGACGATACATATTTCTTATTTAGATATCAGACTAGATTTGCCATTCTCACGATGTTCTCATTTTTAAACAGATATATCTAGGAGTACCACTTTAACTGAAAATGCCCATAAGAATAATCGCGATAAAATGTACATTTATTTTTTCACAAATATTTGTATTTTATCTAGAGATCGGAGAATTTTTCTTTCATAATGTTTATTCTGAAATCTGAATTAAAAATGTAACGTTCATTGTGAGAGGTACAATTTAAAACGAACATAAACGTAATCTCTCGATTGTTGGTCTATAATCCTTGAAAATTTTAATTACGATTTCCGACGATAGAATTAAGGAGAAATTCTTAACCCCGAAATAATTTGCTTTATATAAATATACATGTTTTGTTTAATTGCATGCGTCACTATATTTTATTGATTTTTTGTGTTTATTTTATATACAAGCAATTGCATTACTAGTATTTGCCTGTATCATAGTGATACTAAAATTTATTGTCACGCCGAAAAATAATCACACTGTTTTGCATTGAAAATAAAGTAATATATACGAAATTCACAAAATTTATTAACTTTTTCTACGAAGGCTCCGTTTCGTTTCCTCGTGTAGTTAAAAACAAAAGTAGCAAATTTTTAATATTCCTTCATCACAAATTTCCTTGCACAATTACATTACAGATAGAGTACATTTAGTTGAAAATTTATTCAATAATATTCTTTAAAGGTTTCCTTTAAACGCGGAAAAAATTCAATACATATATCGAATTTAAAGGCGTACTAATTTACTAATGGAAAATTTATTAAAACAGCAAATGAATCTACGTCAAATGAACTTCTACGTCTAAATAATTCTGTGCTTAAATACTATTAAAGAAGACATCTAAACCAACCCATTTATTTACACATAACAATCATTTCATTAAACAAATACAAATACATTTTTCATTAATGTTACGAGAAATCGTTATGGCGACATATCTAGGTTATTTATTGCAATAAATATCTTAAACACGCATCAGAATGATATATTTTACACTACTTTTTGCCGATACTATAAAAACGTAATACAATAAAAAAGATCGTAGCGTTGTTATTTTATTAGTTTCTTATCTTGATTCTGGTGATAATTCTATTATACTACCGAAACTAAAGTATCATTAGTATCTGTTTACATCAACATCTGATTAACTAAACTTTCCTAACCTCTTTTTATTCGTACTACTTTTTCTGTACTCAAAGCGCAGAATGAATAAGATTTTTTACCAATTGAATTGTATTTTTAATTTCCTTTAAAAAAAAAGATGAAATTTACACGATGTGTTGTTTTTCACCATATAATATTACTATTTGATTATAGGACAGTTCGATTTAACGTGATACTATTGAATGAAAATTATTGATTATTTTCCTTTTATATGGGAACCATTGCGTTGGTACATTAAAAGTTCTTGTAAACAATTCAAAATACGCAACATCCTTTATTCCACGCAAATCGAAAACTGAGAATGTGTGAGTGAGAAAAATACATATGCATGTATCCATAGCACCCTACACCGTAACCTTAAAGTTACGAGTACATAGTGGGGAAATTCGACATACTATACCATAAGCAGACTGTACTACATTAGGCCCACGAAACTTGTGCTATTGAAAATAAATAAGAGTGCTGTGAAGGGAAGGGAAATTAAACGAAACAAAATGCATATTGAAATTGTAACTGTATTAAACTAATCACTTGTTCTTTCCTACAGAATGTTTTTCTCAAACTTTGTTATAGAGCAATATATTTATCTCCGTACTTATAAAAAAGAAAAATATAGCTGTCATGTTTTGTCACTTCTTGAGTTTTTCTTAGACATTTTATTACAGTTATTTTACCTTAGTAAATAATGTTAGTCTATGACCAAGTGTCTCTTAACATTTCATCGCAATTTAAGGTTATTTTTAATTCTACAATTTTTACATTACACGAAACAATATTTTACGTTAATAAGTAGCAATTTCACTGCAGAAAGTAAAATTAGTTTTATTCCTTTATATTTAGAGCATTAATTATTTGTTTAATTAATTAACGTTTATAGGTAAAATCGAAAGAATATTAATATACATGATTCGTTATAGCGATATATCCGCTGTTATTAGAACTATTATATTTAGAATAACTTGATACAAAAGAAATTTCATGTTTATTTAAAAAATTTTCATTTTTCCTGTCAAATTATTCGCCGCCTTTTTCTACCTCAACGTAATAACTTTTCTTTATTTAAAAATATATTAAAATCTGATAACATTACAAAATACTGCAATTGTTAAATACGTTAAATTCACCGCATACTTTATATGCTTCTATATGTAATGAAAATAATAACTTTAATTAAAGCGAATACTATATATGGGTGCTTTAGTTTCAAGAAACCTTTCATCCTTTTATAATGTAAATACTGCTTTGTCCGTACTTACAACACTTCGCTTGTTTATTGCTATAAATATCATCGTAAATACAAGCGATTATTTGAAATTTTCAAATGATTTTTATCGTAGCACTAATAAAATAGATCAAAATATCGACAATTTGATAATAAATTTCTAAACGATTATTTGGAGTAAAAGGAATGCAGAATGAGTGAAAATAAAGATACATACTGTACTTTATTTTAAAACATAATAGTACCAATTAAATTCACCTGAATTTTTATTAATAAAAAAAAACAATACTGAAATATAATATCTTTGATTTGTATAAAATATGGTTACTCGTGTATCTATTTTTTAATTAGCTTGAAAATAATAAAAACAACAAGCAACAAAATTTTTATTAATATACGTAATTTGCAGTAATTATACGATACTATAAAACACGTTAATACAAACATTATTTTACTTTCATAATATCTATGAACTCGTAGATAAAATTTTATATAAATTTATTTTTCATAAATAAACATGTAACATTCGTTTAATTTGATGATAAAAGAATAACGCTGTGCTCAGCAACGCGTTATTAATTTTGCAGAAATTTAATTTCAAAGAAAATTCTAGGAAACAACATCCGTTCTATGAAACGTTAGTTATGTGATTTATCTCAATGCGTACGCCGTACCATTCTAACGTAAAAAGAAAAAAAAAAAGAGTAGATATGGTCAGTAAGGCTAAAGGAAAAATAAAAGAGAACAAAAGGGAGGAGGGAGAAGGGAGGGCAGTGAATTGGAATACATAATGCGAATTGCAATAATAACTAATATGCATATGTCTCGAATTAATCATAAAGGGAAGCAGGGTCAATACAGTAGCAAGCTGTACAGCACTGAGGTAGACTTAAAATGTGCCGATTGTATCTACTGGTGCCAGTGACCTCCTATTGATTCCACGCTCAACGAAGCACAGGCCAAACCCTCGTCCTCTCGCCCTGTACACACTTTCTCGTCTTTCATCTTCCGTTTTTTGTTTCTTCTGATAGTGTCCTCGTGTTTTTCTTAAATTCGCAACATTCCCTTCTTTTAACCTTTGTTTGTTGGTTTTAACTAGAACTCCCCTTTTCTAACCGCATCTCTCTTATTGTACACTCCCTTTTCTCGCCTTCTCTTTGTTTCTACTTGTGTTCATAACCTATTACCCTCTATCCATTATTGTACTTAAATTATTTCATTATTTTCTCCCTTCATATTTTCTCCCCTTCCCTTGTTTACCTTTCCTCCTTTATTCTCATTGCATTCAGAAAAGTTATGCCCAAAACAAATATACTGAAAGTATTAATATAATTGCTGTAAAATTGTATCGCACGAGTAATAATAATAATTATGCAAAATATACGTTGCATTTTGATTTCACAGAGTAAAACTAAACATAAATCACTCTCAGTCTATAATGATTGAAATGTCTGCAACACCGAAATGCAACAAAAGCATCACATGCACATGACCAGAATACAAACTATTGTTACAATTCGATAACGACGACGTACCTATAATACTATTTACCTGCCACGCTTAAATGAACGTAGTTTCAATAGAACTCACGACATTTCTAACGAAAAATGCAACTTTTTATGTTGTTAAAAACGAAGTTACCGGAATGATGTTACATACTGAAAATATCGCATACAATACATGTATTTAACTATCAATAACTTAATCAATAACTCAGATTCCAGTTTAAGTTTAGTTCAGAATTGTCGAACTTTATAAGTATTTATTACACCATAACAATAACGCTGTAATAAACGCACGCATACGATTTTATATTGTATTGTTTCTTTTTTTCTCTACTTCACTATTATAAACGCACTCTTTTCGCTAGTTTTATATAAACATTTGTATGTCGTATATTGCTTAACAGAAGAAAATTAAATTTAATAAAATAATAATGCACATATACAAATACAGTATTATTTTATATTCTACCTTTAAAAAATGTGTCACATTCGATTTTACAGTATTTTTCGAGAAAAAAAATAAATAACGTAACATTCCGATTTTAATATAACTTAATTTTTTATTATTTACTTTGTAAAAGGTACTTAATGGATTATTCAATTAAAAAATTTTAAATGCTTAAAGCATTTAATGTTTATTTAGTTATAAATAATTCATAATAATAATATATACGTTAATAAATTATGAATGATTCATAATTTATTTGAATAAATCGTGTTAATGGAGATAAATAATAAAAATAGTTGATAAATCCATTCGTTTAGTTACTACCACTTATGGAATAAAAACATTTAATTATGCACCGTTTAGAAGAGCGTATCCCATCGAAGCTGCTAACTCAAGTATTAACATCTCACATCTTTTGGATGTATCACATTTTAGAATGGACAGGCTATTAAGAGAAATGAACGTGGCGTGGCGATGACAAGCCTGATCTTGGAAAACGCAGACTTGAACCGACTTTTCCCGAAATGTCGGCCTAGGGGTGGCCCACCCCCGAGTCCGGGGGCCTCCACGCAGATCAGTCAGCCGCATGAGAGCCTCTGCCAGAAGGAGGCCGTCTCTGTTACCACCAGCCTCACGAGTACACTCACGACTACGTTCGCAAACACTCTCACGACCACCCTTTCAATCGCCTCCAAGAACACACATCCGACGCATTCGCGCGCGATACCGGAAGACATGATCGACCTCGAGCGCGATATCTCCGATAGGTAAATTTATATTGATTTATTGATCGCTAATCTTTACAGAATACCATACTGAAATTACTCGATACGCTAAAAATTAAACCTTAAAATTGTCATTACTAACTATTACGATCGTTATTAAATCATGGAATTATATTGATAATAATACATTTCGATAAAAGTTTTGTTGAAAAACATAATACCTAAGTATTAACTATTTTGTATAACTATTTCGTAAGTTCATCAAATCTCATGAACATTTA